TAAAAGGGAAAAATAATTAAGTGAAAGCCTTCTTGTTATACAGGTGTTTTGATTTTTGAAGATAAAAATAGTTTATAGGGGTCTTAAATGTTTTTTGCTACTATAACAACTAGGGAACATAGTGAAAAATCATAGGCAAAGGATGTTAAGATATATATATATATATTTTTTTTTTCATTTGGTAGGACTTTGTGTTAAGATATTCAGAAAATATTAAAGAGATCGAGTATCAAGTTTTATTCAGTGCCGACGTAAAAAATATTTCTCTCTTTGAATAGGGAGATTTGAGAAAATGTATGCATGTGTTACTTAAAAAGCTGTGTCTGAATGTAAATCACTATAGTCCGACGGTTGGGGTGATCGTCTTTTAAAGATAACAACTTATCTAGTTCCATCTCTTGCTGCATATTTGTAGAAAGGCAATGACGGGGAAATCGAGAAGTAAAGTTTGGTTGAATTATACACGTTGGCAAGTTATTTGTGTCCTTTTATAATATTTTTCCCGTTCTTGTGGGAGGCAAAAAAGCATATTTGCTAGATAAATGAAACTACAATAACCAAAAATTGCCGTAGTCCGACTTAAAGATAGCAACTTATCTATCCCCGTCTCTTATAGCATGTTTGTACTGGTGAGAAAGATCATGACGGGGAAATCGAGAAGTAAAGTTTGGTTGGATTATTTCCCATCGGCTAGGCTAATTGTGTCTTTTTTACAATATTTTTCTCGTTCTTGTTGAAGACAAAAAAGCATATTTGTTAGGTAAATGAAACTACAGTAACCAACATTAGTGGTTACCGTTGCATAGTTCCTTTTCTTTGTATATACTTGCAGGGAGGTACTATAGACAATTTTGTGGAGGGGGAGTAAATTACTGAAAAGCTAGTCCACCTTCTGTTCTGATTCATCTTTTTCTTATGTCATCATAAAACGGAGGATCTCTAATCGATGTTTACCCTGGTCTTTTTATATCAGAAGAGAATGCACTGTATTGACGTGCAAAGATACGGCTGTCTGCATAGAGTTATACATATGGGAAAGCTGAACATATTTCCTAGTTTGCAGATTGTACAAAAATTGAGAGCTGAGGCGGGAACACTTTTTGGGAAAAAACATTGCCTCTTGAGGTTAATTAGCAAATCATAGCTGGGTCGGCACATGGGGACAGGCGGTAGATAATTAGTTGTTCAGACGGAAATAGGAGGGGGAACCCCGTTTTTGGTCTCGTGCAGATGCGTTGAAAACCCTATTAATGCTCTCTAAATAGAATAAAACCTGGCGGCTTTTCAACCTGTTAGGTAATTATACCTGTTGTATAAGCCTGAAATTTTCAAACGTATGAGATAGTGGGTATCGCATTTACATTTATACAGAAAATTTAAACCTGTTATTTTTATTTTATTTGTATTATCACCTGTTAGGTGCGTTTTTGTGAAGGTCATAATATAGGCATATTGAGTACAACAAGAGTTTCATGATCCTTTTGACTGAATTGTATTTTTATTAGAAAGATGCCTTTGGGATGTAAGATAGCTTATCAATCGTCTTGCGAAGTTAAGAAATTTCTGTTGAGTTAGTCTTATTAGAGTTGCATCTTTGTTATATTATGCATTTGTAAACATTTGTAAAGATATTGATTATAGTCTTTGAAATTATTTTTTTTATATATGCATATGGGGAGAGAAATGGATATTGCCATATACATATATATTTTGTCTTATATTTACATAATGAGAACATTGATAATCTTAGTAAGGGTTAAAATGGATTTCCTTTTCTTGATTGGTTACACCTCAAGGCGAGACTGCACCACCACCGTCATTACCTCTGAGCAAGAAGAAATGGTCATATTATCACCCTCGTTATATGGAACTCTGGTGATATGATTTGTATTTGTGTCTGTTTGTTTGTACTAAAGGCATATTTGAAGACCTTAATAAAGACATTGAGTACAGCAACGAATTTTATAATCCTTTTGACTGCAATGAATTCTTAATATTGAGGTGTTTTGGCGATTTAATGTAGACAACGTGTCAAGACATTTATGGATTATGATGAATTAGGGAGGGGTGATCACTCGTCTGTAGCAGGATTAATTATCGGTTCAGTTACATGTTTAAACATGGTGAATATTGCCAAAGTGTTTATACAATTGAAAATAAAGGTATGTATTGTATGACGAATTTTTATAATCTAATACAGTTAATTGTATTCTTATCCCTGGTATGGCGAGGGAGGAACAGTAATTATCTGTTATTAGCAGACCTGTGTGACCTATTTAATATTGATTTTGCCAGTTAAGTGTGTTTATACAATCGAAAATAAAAGCATATATTGTATAACGAGTTTTATAATCCTTTACACTTAATTGTATTCTTATCTCTGTC